ACAAATGTTGGAAACATTGTATCCCGACAGTCGACCAACTGTACAAAACAATCGTTCAACGATTATAAATTAGCTGGTTTGAGTCGGCCAATTGTTGGGCTATGAAGTGTTACGTTCATACCAGAAAACTGATTTCATTAGTCGGCCGATTGTTGGTCGGCATGAAATGTATTTATTGCTTGTTTCCCACTTAGAGTGAAAAACATTGGTGACAGTCGATCGACGGTCGGGATACAGTGTTTCCAGCGATTGTATCCCAGCCTGTACGGGCCTTAACGGTAACTATTGTCACTCGTCACACTGGTTAAGCGTAGCATAGCTTGATATTGCCTTCGTAATCGCATAAGCAAGATGAGAATCAGTAGCAAACGCTTAGAGAGTTCAGTAGAGATACAGCATTTTATTTTACAATAAAAATTTTTATTTCAATAAACCATTTTGAAATAAAACACCAATTTTTCATTAAAGCACCGATTTTAATGACCTTGAAATATGTTGTCAAGATCAACATTTTAAACAACTTTTCTCTATACATGTTACCGCCAGACTCCTTTAGTTTTCGAGATATCAGTAAAAATATATGGTAATTGTGCGTTTAGCGCCTTTCCCCAACTTTGCCTATTTCATTTCAGTTTTCTTTTTAACTTTGAAGTATGTTGGCAAGGATGTCATTTTGTTTCTATAAACAACAATATAACAGTACATGAACTTAAAGATCAGACTTAACCGATTTCAATGATTTTGAATTTGAACATGTATGGCCGGCCGCTTGGTGGCGGACGGAATATTAACCTAACCTAACCTAATCCACCGATTAGGTTAAATTATATTAGATAAATATTCCGACCATCGTCAGGCGGTATTCAAGTAGAAAGATGCTGCGTTTTAAACTTCTCCAAACTTAAAGCACTAGGTAAATGTATAAAGCATTTTGCTTTATTTGTTTGTTTGACGCGTTCGTTAATGATCACTGTTGCTTAATAGCCACGTTGCGATGATCAAATGAACCCGTTAATGGTCGATTAATAATGAACATTGATTGTCGCTCTCTTACCGACGACCGAATTATGTAATCGGTAACCGCTTAAATACATTTTTCTTAATTTCACGTTGTTCTACAATAAGGATGCTACATACTAAGGGATTAAGCAAATAAAGCCAAACGTAACATAAACATAACGTAAACATGTACTAAACTCAACGTAAACTTATCCCAAAGCTACAGAATATGATATCCAACATTGAAAGTATTTTTGCGTACATCTTAAGAACTAAATAAGTCCAGCGGTAACATGTATAGGGAAAAGTTTTTTAGAATGTTAACCTTGACAACATGTTTCAAAGTCATTGAAATCGGTGCTGAGGGCCCTATGCCCAATAATTACCCTGCGCCGTATCGAAAGAGTTAAAAGATAAAGTAGTATCTTGGAAACGACTTTTAAGACCACAAAATAAGAAAAAACGATTAGAGTGGGTTAGGTTAGGAAAAAGAAAATGATCATCATAATAATTTGGCTGTTAGAATTACCAGATCTTAACCCTATAGATCTACTATAGAATGAATTGGATTGAGAAACTAGGAACCATTACCCAAAAAAACATTTCTGGGAACTTTTATACAATAATTCGAAAAACATACAACAGGAAAAGTTACAAAAATTCGTATCAAAAATGCCAATATTATGTAAAATACTAATAAAGAAAAAAGATATTTCTACAAATGGGATATTTAGTAATAAATAACATGTTTTTAGAAAATATTCGAATTATTATAACCTACTTTGACATTTATTGTGTCTACATATGTAAAATAAAAAAATTAAGAATACTTTTTTCATCAATAACTGTACCCAAACTTTTGAGCAGTAGTGGATTATTTTTTCAAATATACATATAAGAATGTACATGTATATGAATGTATAAGATCATTGATTTAATACAGAAACGTTTGGCTTATTGTTAGAGTAACATATACCAACCACAAACGAATGATTTAAAGTACAAAGCTGTCATGAATTTTATTTCAAGTAAAGAGAAAATAAAATGGTAATTTAGACTTATGAAATCATTATAAAAGAAAAAACGAAAAAATTATTATACTGTTTCTAAGAGAGATAGACTATTCATCATCCTTTTGTTGCAGTTTGATATAGTATGTAGAATACCTGACATGAATGTATGTAGCTGCATCTGTTGAAGATGATCAAATCCAAAAAACCAAACCTACATCGTTACATGAGAGGTTATTATTCAGAAAAATTTAACTATGTTGTCTTATTCGATCCAAGAAACTATGTTTATCCAAATAATTATGTGAGAACATAAATCAAAGCATTGAAGGCAGCATGTGATGGAGAAAGAGTAAGGAAGAGAATCTTCTATTATATTAACAGAGATAAAGCAATATTTTTGACTCCTTAAACCATCGATTCCTATTTTATCAAGGTTCGCCAAAATCCAATTTAAGTCTTTTTTTTTTTACAAATCTACGCAGTGTGGTAGCTGTTTTGTCATCTGAGATTATTCCCCACGTGGTGCGCATATACTTATATAAACAATGCATTTGTCTTTTGTTGTCTAATCCTGACGACTTTATGATGCTTATAGGTTAGATAATTTTCGTACAGATATGTTTGCAGGTGAGAATCTACTTAAGGTGGTGAGATATACATACGTACCCAAAATACAGCTATGATAGCCCAATAGCCTACAAAGGACTGGAATCACCGACACAACTTGTTTTAAGCAATGTTGCCATTTACAATACATCGATTTATTAATTCGACCACCGTGTAACGGTGAACCTACACGATCGGTGTATGATATGCAGAGTTCGGCATTTAATACGTTAGCACGTTGTCAAATCAGGTAACTTAGCACGCAATGAAAGCTTTAACGCTGTAGTTAATTTTTTCAAACCGGGATCCACACGAAACATTTGTGTATCTGTTACCAGCAAAGTGGAAAATCCGGCACTGTATAAAATGCCTAGGCAATGTAGGTTTTTATGATTTTTTCTGTTTTAATAATTTTTCCCAAACTAACTTTGTATTCTATGTTATTCAATTAAAGTATTATTTTTTTATGTTCTTAATAAATGTTCTATGACTGGAAAGGAAACCTAACCCAAACTTAACCTGCACAAATATCCCAATATGTACTATGCCTAAATGGCATAATATGTCTATACATATGTATACACAATATACACATTACCTAGGCAAAGTATGAACTAATATTTTTAAATCGTTACACTTTGAACATTGCTTGGACTTTACATTTTACCGGTAACATATCGACCAGGATCGGGCGCAACAATATGTTGTATGTTTAAATAAAAAATAACATTATAAACGTTACTCATAATTTACCTGTTTTTGTGGAAACTAAACTTTAATTACTCGTATAAGTTATTAATTTTTTACAATTAGATACATGACAAATATATGATTAAAATTCTTTTTATCTTAAAAGTCCAACCAATGAATTGAATATTTATAATTTCATCAAATATATATTATAATGACAATTATAAGATAGTTACTATATATGTACTTTATAACAAAAAATTCGAATGATAATTTTAAAAAAATACATATTTTCCAGTTAAAAAAAAATTGTTTTATCATAAAATAAAATGAGT